TTTTTTTTTTTTTTTTTTTTTATTTTTGAGGGTCACATTTGCTTTGAGAATTGAGAACACATTTACCTTGATGGGTTTCAAAGGCATTGAAACTTCACACAAGTTCGTGGAGGTGTTAGGAGGCAGAGCACAGCAGTAAAAGTTGCTTTGTGTTTSGTAGTTGAAAAGCTTAGCTATAAATCATGTCAACAATGTGTTTTCAAAGTATGTGTGTATGCATATAGAGGAAATACTGATCTTCATAGCCAATAATGGTATATCTTCATGRATACCTGTGATACAGGCAGTATCTGTCTAAAATGCAAATACCTCTGCACGTGCTTCTTCATAAGTTTTAATTTGCTGTTCAGTGAACCTGAGATTTTTTCCTGTGCTGCAGAAATGATCAGATACTATTGTACCTGTTTTTTTAGTACTTCGGGTTAGTGTTGATACACTAYTTTGAACAAGAGGTAGCAAAGGGGAAGAAAGAAACAATTCTAGAGGTAATTAATTTGTAACCGATCCCAAACCAGTGAGTTTCAAACCATTCAATTGAACTAAAAAATGAGATCAACTCTGGCTGATTTGGATTCACTAAGGGAGGAGATACACCGTTTTAGTGCAGCATAGCTGCAAGTAGGTGCTGTATAAAATGGGGCTAATGGTGGTGCTGCAGCACTTCTGTCCCTGGTAAAACTGTCTAGTGAAATAGAAGTATTTATGGATAACAGTGCTTAAGGAGTGGCAGGGAAAGTGAAAAACTGAGAGCTGTGAATCGGCATTCATGAAAGGTATTCCTAACAGAAGGTAAATCTAATAATAAAAATAACATGATTAGCATCTTTATAGGCAAAGAGGAGAGTTCTAGAAATGTGTGGAAAGAATTGCAAATCAATATTACAGCTGTGTATGTGKGCAGGCAAGTGTTGTCAAATTACTCAGTATGGAACAGAAATATGTATGTCTTGGKACTCTTTAATAATTGCTAAAAAGTTTTTGATCACGATGCAGAACATCAGTTGTTAATTTCAAAAGCTTCTTTGTGCACAAGGTTTGATAGCTACCCACTGGGTTTTTAAAGAATTGACCAAGGAAAGAACAGATATTGAATGATGCTTATGGATCTAGGGACGGTCCAGGAAAAAAGTACTGTGCTATTGTTGGTAAAGGKCAGTAAAATAGTCTTCATTGCTGCTGATCATAAAGGAACATGTTGAGCAGCTGCATGATGTTAGGATGCAACTGATGTAGAACTAAAGGGTGGTGCCATGATCCATACCCCTCAATGAGATACTGCACAGATATGTTCTGCCAAATTTCTCTCAAATTGTATTTGGCTGATGCTAATTGTCATAAATACATGCGAGCTTCAAGGCATTTGACTTCTGTATGATGCTGATTAGAGTAGCAGTGTTGGGGACGTGAAACAGTAAGTAAAACTGATTTCAGTTGTGCTCGCCAAAAATAAGTGCCAGACATCATCAGGAAGCATGTTAGTTTGTGGGTTTCGTTGTGGGTTTCTTGTGGTTTTTTGAGGAGTAGGAGGGTGATTATGCATCTCTTTGTGACATGATGCTACTGAAATCTTCCTTAGTTTGGAMGACAGCAAGCATTGTGGGGAAATGCTGCACATACTGAAGTAGTTTGTGTCAAATGAAGTGAGTCCCTTCTAGAAACCGAATTTGGTCATGTGTAGCTACATTCATTTGAGCAACACATGTTTTACCATGGCTCAGTGGAAAGTCACAGCTAGGAGCTATGAATATAGGTCACTCAGGATAGGAGACTTTATTTTGGAAAGCATTGACTCAGAAAATGATTTGGAGYTCTGATGTATTACCAGTTGAGCATGAAATTGCAGTAGAGTGCAGTGGCTTATGGAGTAAATGCTATCTTTGGGTAGCTTAGCAGGGTTATGTTATCATTGCTATATAGCATTAGAGGGACAATTACAGGAATATTATGTCCTGTTCTGAGGACAGTTTTTAAAAACACTGGCCAAACTGGAAAGATAATAAGACAGCCAGAGAATGGCTGTAGTTCTGGCTAGCATAACTTAATGAAACTAAAATACCAAGGTAAAGTGTGTGATTAGTGTTTACATTTATTTCTGTGTTGTGTAAGATGATTGGAAGAAAGCTCATTTAATTTAATTAATAGATCATTAGATTTAGTAGCTGAAAAGAAAACTARGCACTTTTTTTTTTTTAGGCAAATYGTTGTGTTTTGTTTTGGTGGGGWTTTTTGTGGGTGGTTKTATTTGTTTGTTTGCTAGCTGAGGGCATAGGAACAATTTGCTTAGCAAAGAGATAGGGTTTTCTGAGGTGTTTTCTTCAAAGTCCTGGTACTCTTTCAAATGAATTGTCTRGCTCAGCCAGAGGTATTGATGGAATTCCACAGGCTTTGTTATGGAAGAAAATGAGCTAAAGAATCATAGGGATCTCTTTGAAAGGGAGAGGCAGCTATTGAGTGAGGAAGGAGAGAAAGCAGGAAAGAGTTGATGTAGAGAAACGTTGTCAGTCCCCTAAATACAGATGGTCTGGGAACTAATTAATGACTCCCATCCTTCCTGAGATTCCAGGCTCAGGTAGGAAAATAAGAGGAGACTGTACAAAACTTGTATAAAAGGTGATGGAGAAACCCTGGTGTGATGGGAAGAGACCAAACCCAGTGCGCCTGGGATCTGTTGTTACCAATTTGCTTTCAGTTTTGCCTCTGGAGAATTTAATTTGCTCATATGCTTCATTCCCATTGCTCATTACCACTGATCTCTCCTGTCTGAGTTCCAACTTGCTTTCCCTTCTTCCCTGATTCTTTGCTTGGTTTTGTTCCTCCTGTCATCTTTGTTTTTGTCTCACACCAGTATGTGTGTGCCAGCTCAGTTTGTCCATAAAGCTTTAGCTTTGCCTGTTTATATTGCACCAAAACCTAAGTCTTAGGTTTTCCTGGAATGTTATTCATGGAAAAAAACCTCAGTCCTAAAGGRTTTTGATAATTTTTTATAAATCAGYATTTAGGAATTATGTAGACTAGTCCAGGAACTATATAAAGGTAACATTGCTTCATAATTTTTCTGTAAAATTTACAGTGTCTTTTAAAGTTGATAGAGTTTTTCCATGACAATATAGCTGATAGTGGTATRTGAGGTAAAATAGTCTGAAAACCAGTGGAGGGTTACATATGTATTGTGTGTAAATGGAAATCTTTGGTAAAGTAAGTACCAGATCCAGTACTCTTATCCAGTGGGGTAAGAGCCAGATAGGGCACAAGTGCTATGGTGAAATAAAGGGTTAGAGAAAGACTGACTATTGAAGCAGTCTTCGTTTGGTTTTTAAGGCCTGCTCAGARCAGGCTTCTTCATTTTGCCTTCTTTTATGCAATAATTATAATGGTACATTATGTATAGSTATAATGACAACAAAGTTTGTATTTCTGGCAAGCTCTGGTTTTGGTGAAAGAATTTGCTGTGTCTTGTGCTTCACAGTTTACCTTTCTCAGCCTTCACCAAAGCCWGATAGATACTGGAGCTTGGTATTTGTGCTTTGTTAGAGAAATCAGGTGTCTGTAGCAAGTAGGATAAATAGAAAGTTCCTCTGCTGCTGCAGATCCTYGCCATAAATTATATTTGCTTATTTTCTGATTTTGTCTGTAAATAAGTTTGGTTTTAAATCTCAAGATATTGGAGATGTGTGATTCCTATGAGCAGGGTGAGTGCTGCCATTTACTTTGTCTCCAGTTACGGAACGGAGTCTTGTACTAGTCCTGTACATGCAGGGCTGCTGATTCCCCTGCTTTCAAGTGATTGGTATCAATTCTAAAAAGCTTGTCAGTGTGTCTGATCCATTTTTTATATATATATATTTTTTTTTTTAGTGAGACAGTGTTACTTGTCTTAATTTTACTAATGTGATATGCATTTCAAGTAACCAAAATGAGCAGTGTGGTCTTTAGTTTAGAAAACTTTGTAAATTTTGTTTTTCATTTAAACGTGCTGGCTGCTTCTGAACATGCTTGTTAGCTAGATACTTTGGTAATTTAGCCTGTTGGTTTGAAGTTGTGTGAATAGTAATTACCTGCTTCCTGATTTTTTTCTTCTGAAATAAACTTGCCTTTATGAGTTAACTTAGTCCAAAATCCATCAAGAGGAATCATTCAAAACCCTATTCTCTTTGTATCTTGATGAAAACATCCCTTAGTATTCTTCCAGAAATAGGTTTGTCTTTGGCCTGTGGGATTTAGTCCCAGTGGTTTGCCCTGCTTGATTAYCTAGTCATGTTATAAATCACAATATAACATGTCAGCAGTGGGTTACTTCCTTTTTCATTGCAAAATAAATTTAATCAATGGGGACATATATTCTTTTAATTAAATAGAAGTGAACTAACCTGACACTGATCATCTCAAGCATTAGAAATTACGTTAACATTGTGAACAATTACTGTTTTTCTTGCGGGGTGCCTTATCTTCAAGAGAAGCAGACATAAGGCTTTTGAGCTGTTTCTGAAAGCTTGGTCAGGAAGTTGTTTTGTTTTTGGGGTTTTTTTTTTGTTGTTACTGTTTTGGGGGGGATTCTTGTTAGTGTTTTTTTTTTGTTTTTTTTTTAATTCTCCTGTTTTTTTGTTGTTTTCAGAAGGTATTTGATTTCTTGCCCCTGGTCCTAGGTGTATGTCTTACCTTTACAGATTGTCTCACATTTTCCCAGGCTGTGAARCATTTCTCCTGTGCTTGTCTAGACTCAGAAGTCCTGTTGCAGGGTGGATGATTTACTGAAGAACCACATGCCAGGCATATGGATATAACCCATGGAACACAATGAAAGTCAGTGTCAAGTRTGGGATTCCACTACTAGTGCATTACAAGATCAATGAAACAGAACAAAGTAGAGCAATATATCCCTGGAGTGCAATTTGTAAATTGTTTCTTCAAGTTTGCTACTCATTTTTAGTACCTCTTCCACCTCCTGCAATGCCATTTCAGAAGCAGTATCTAGTATAATAAATGAAAGTTCATCAGTTACTTAAATTAATATAGCTGTTATTGTAGTCAGAAGATTTTTGGGTAGTGGGTTTTGTGTTCCTATATTTAGAAGTGTCAATGATCTGAAACACTTAGCTAGTATTTCAGGTTTTGTGAAAGCCCTATGAGATGTTGCTACTTCAGCTGAACATTAATTCTGTCATCTCCATACTATGTGTGTGGTTGGGAGTGTTTCAGTGGAAACACRAAATTGGGATGTGCCATTCTTAAATTATGAAAGAAAGATAAGACAAATTGCTGTGTRTGGTCAGCTGCAGGACTGTGGGGTGCTATATACTCATTGCCAAAGCAATTGKATTATATTGCTGTAGAAATTTATACTCTGCTTATAAATGAGATTTCTTTGTTATTAAAACACTTCTCATCGGAAGATGGGCATTTTGTGTGTGGAAAAAAAATCTTTTTTGTAAATGTTCAGTTTTGTAATGTGTAAGGTTTGACAGAGAGAAAGGAAATAGTTGTTCTAGTTTGAGCTTGTTTTGTTTAAAATACAAATTGCGTTTATGTTTTTAAAACCTTCTTTAAGGCTGGGCTCCCACCAGCTCTGTTGTGTTTTCTTGGCCTCGACTGACTGCTGACTGTGAGACTTGCTGATTTTTGCACGGTGCCTTTGCTTAATGCAGCTTTTCTGTTGGCTCTGTGGCAAAGGAGGGCCACTGCTACAGGATGAGTAGGAATRTATATGTAACCTGTACTACTGTGTTACTGATCTTTATTGTAATGTCTAYAGTAGTAAATTCAAACTATCTACAGGATTTTCTGGTGTTACTGAAATTGAGGGGTCAGCAGGACCTTACTGGTTCACAGCACAGATTGCAAACACTGTCCTGATGTGCAGTAAAGGAGTGTTTATGTTTTCTGGGAGTGACTTGAAGTTCCTTTTAACACTATTGTGTATTTTTGGATTAAACGTGTGAATGAGGATGGGAAGAACAGAATATGATTTCTAAGTATTTGTTTAAAACAATAAATCTAATGTTTCCTTCCAGATTATAAAAACACTTAAGGTACTACAGGATTTGGATTTATCACTGGATATTCTAGTGGTAAGTGATCAATTATAATAACAATACATTAAAGTCTTCTATAGTGAATTACTGTGTAAGTGTGCATTTGTTAAAGTGGTTTGCATTTTATAATTTTGACTTTATGTCATGATGTGGCTAGATTAATTTTCCAAAAGCTGGTTATCCAATTTGATAAATGCAGTATTATGTCAACAGTGATAGTACTGAACATATAGAGGACACTTTGCTAATCAGATTSGTTTCTTTACACTGTAAAATTGCCTTCAATCAGAGCTTTAGACAAAGCAAATGGTTAACCATTCTTTAGGTCAGTTGTCTAACTCTGCCGTCTTTTATTAGCAGCTCAGAGATAGTTTCTTTCATTTAAAGACCTGGCATCTCAAGTAAGGATTCCTATGACTTTCATCCTCATCCAAGCTGCATCCTATTGAATTCTAATTTGGATATTGTCACATGGGTCTGTGACATGTCTATCTATTATAAGCAATTTGTCTGTGTTTTGGGAAGAAGAAAAATGTGGATTTTGTGAGAGACTTCTTTGAAGAGTGTGAGGAAAATTATAGTTGCTGAGATATTTGGATGGTCTATTCAGGCAAAGGCATTTGCCTGCCTGGACACAGGCAGACTTTTACTGGAATTCAGTAATATTTATCTTGTTTTCCAATAAAAATACATAATCTCATATTGCAATTAGTTGATAAAAATGACAAAGGGTTTCTGCAGATGATTCATGTTACCAGSAAATTTGTGAGTTTTATAATGGGATAGACTTGGTTGGAAGCCTTCAAGTCCAATAGAGGAAAGTGATGTCTTACAGCTTAAGGGCTCCCTATATTTTATGAAGTAGTCCCACCAGATTTCTTCCATCTGCTTGCAATAACTGACTAACCAAATCAGATTGCTCAGGTTGTGTRTAAGCTAAATATACTTGAAGTGAATTTAAGGAAGCCCTTTCTAGGGGCTGAGCTGATTATGTGGGAGTAATGTGTGTATAGCTCAGACTTCACAGGAGCAAAATTTCACTAGTTAGCAGGAGCATTAACAGGTTGCAGGGAACTTACCGAGTTCTATATTTTGTGTGCATTTTAGAAGTGAGAGTTTGTTAATCAGAGATGCTTACTGTTAATACAGGCTGGAAATCACCTGTGATTCTATAAATACTCAAAGTCTACAAGATATTTTTGCTGAAACAAAACACTTTAGAGTGAGACTTGAAGACAATGATATCGTGAAAATTGCTCTGCTCCTTTGACTCCTCTACCCTGTATTGCTAGTTGAGATGGATTATTACACCATGCCCACCGTATATTCTCTCTAATATGCTAAAATATACTTCATATGCCTAAAGGTGATTTGAACTGATGCATTTTGTGGGCTTAAGCATTTGAGAGAAGTGAGATTCCTGAAATATGTACATTTAATGGAGGAAAATTACTTCTCTTAGCTTTATGAATTAAGGCTGCATTTTGTTCCCCATATTTGGTTATAACTAACTACCTCCTTCAGTTCCATTTGCAGTATAAAGGGTGCATTTATTTCTTTGGCTGACATAGGACTGCCCTGAATACTAGGCTAATACTGTTTGTAGCAGCTTTAGAGGAGGTTTTATTTGGGATTAGAGTTGTGATTTATTYTGCCCATCTTTCTTGCACAATCTTCAACAGGAAACTGGCATACATGAAACAGTTAACAGCTTTAGGAAACAYGCCACTGCTGGGAATGTAGCTAAAAGTCTATTAAAACAATGGAAACAGCTTATTGCTCCAGAAAGTAAAAGGTAGGTGTGAACTTCTTTCTTAAAAGTTAATTATACTGTAGTGTAACTTTGGAAATGGGAAATTTAGGAAGGTTTTTGGAATGACAAATTGTATTGAATTGAATGGAAGAAATGAGAATGCAGTTATAAAATACAAGGAAAACAAATAGACCAGTATTGTTCATCTAGCCACTCTGATCTCAGCTACGATTTTTGATTTGCACAAGTTGTTAAATCCCAGCTGGTGCAAACAGAACTAAACCATCATGGGCACTGCTCTGCACTTCAGGAAGTTGTGAAGCTTGCTCTTTTGTCCCAGAGGTCATGATGGTTAAATGAAGCAGCTCTCCAGTGATTTGGATGCATAGAGGTTTTCTTTGTAATGTTCTTATGGACTGAGAGGGGCTTCCACCATTGGAAGAGTCACAGTGAAGAGATGAAGTTTCTTCTGAGGCTGAAGCAGCCATGGCCCACTGTGCTTCCGATGTTTGCAGAGTTCCAGCAGCTCAGGACAGTTGAGCTGGGAAAGCCAAGGGATTAGTTTGAYTAAGTAATACATTTTAAATCTGAGGCTGTTCAAACAGCAGAAAAGTAAAATACCAAAACCTGTGATAAGTGAGTCATAAAGGCTGACCTGTCATAATCTGTATCMCCTACAGGGCATGTTGTAAATTCTCTGTGTCCTAGTTATTTCAAGCACCATGTCTTTGTTATAAAGCATGCAGGGAAACTTTGTGAAAAGTAACATTCAGCATGTTATAATCAGATAGTATGCCAGGCATGTTTTCCTATTCAGTTATGTCCTTACTCCCCACATGTTTTGCTGTCAATTCTTGTTGCAATATTTAGCAGTTCTGGACCCAAGAGCTCTGTGATTCTGTACTGGTAATGGAAGAATGWCAACAAAGTTCTGGGTTTTGTAAAACTATGACACATGGTGTGATTTTATGCTTTTAGTTTTATTAATATAGGAATACCAGATGGTTTAAGAATTTAGCATCAGCTGTAGAATGTGACGTAATCTTTTTTTTTTTTTTTTTTTGTCACAGTGGTCACAGGGGAAGGAAAAATGAGAAAGAAAAATGTGAGACAAAATCCTCTGTTTTCAACAAGATTAAGCCTTCAGAGAAAGCCAAACCCTCTGTACTGGCCTTCAGAAGTTCCAATAGTGCTCCCATTTCTATGAAGTTGAATAAGGAGTGTATTTGTAGTGAAAAGACTCATCAAAGTACAAATTCTGAGTCTCCAATAGAATGTGAYAATAAACAATGTAGCAGCAGTGGTTCTAAGCATGCTTCCCCGGGTACCAGTTCTCAGGCTAAAGAAAGTGTTTTCAAGGAGAGCACCTCCACAGAGAGCAAGAGAGTTTCAGAAAAGCAGCAATCCTCTGCAGCCAGTGAAGGCTTATTACCTCTGAAGGAAAAGCCTAGTAAGGATGCTTCCAAACAGAGAAATCCTAAACRTGTGAAGAAACCAAAACAAAACCATGTCATTGAAGACCAAACYAAATCATCTAGTGATGAAGAATTTGAGCCCCCCACTATGTCTTTTGAATYTTATCTTACTTATGATGAGGTTACCAACAAAAGAAAGAGAAAGGCTTGTTCTGCTGGTGCACGGCCAAGGAAGTGCAATGAACAGAAGAACAGTTTATTACCACAAAAGACTTCAAAACTTTCTCAGGCAAAAGAGGGAGTAGAAGATGTAAAAAAATCAGAATCTGAGAATGATCAATCAGAAGCTCCCAATAAAAAGGTAAACCATTACAAAGCTGAAATAACAGCAGAGATAAACTGCAGACAAACAAATGCTTCGGACTTTTAATTTTAATTTTAATACAGAATTTTATCTRTATTTTAAGGAACAGATTGCATGACTTTGGTGTATCAGCTGCATTGCAATTGCCAATAATTACAATAGTTAGGGGGAAAATAGGATACTGACAGTTTGCAATTGAATTACTCAAATTTTTAGCATTATTTCCAATATTACAGTAGTGTTTGATCCCTATCAAGTAATCTGCTTTTGACTTGCAAAATGCAAAGGCGTTTATCTTTGGAGAGATGATCATCTTTTTACCTTCTTGACCATCCTGGTTTGYGGCTGCTGCAGTTGTGTGTAGCACTGTCCTTTTGTCAGATGCTGTGGTTCTTTAGCAGTGAATGTTTAGGTTTGCAGTGGAACTGAACCTTCTTTAAATGCATTGAAGTAAACCATGATATTGCATATAAAACTGGATTATATATATTTTTAATTTGAGCTCTCCTAGTCCCTTGAAATGCAAAAAATCTTAAGCAGCTCCTCTGAGCAAATGTGTATGTAAAATTGTGTATGAATTAAACCTTTTAAGTGAAGACCTTTTGAGCACTGAAAATTAAGTTATCTTCAGGTTCATGTCTTCACTGTGATGTKAAAGCTTCAGGCTTTTTTTATTGTGGAAGATCTACAATCTGAATGTGGTATTTTCTGTCCCAGATGGGGAAATATTAGTGTAGAGGCTTATGTATGGTACTCTAGCATAAACTGTTTGAGGAGAAATCTCAGATATTCAAGCAGTTGTGAAAAGTTACTCTAGATACTAAAATGAAGAGCAGGGAATGCAAGTTATGTGCTATAAGTGCCTCACTTACAATTGGAGGTACACCTAAGACCCAAATTAGATGTTACACGTAATACATTTGTAGGGGCCCATGCTTAACAGACTGCTGCATGTTTAAATCACTTTTTAAGGGATTAGCTGAACCTTTTAGACTAAATGGCTTACCGAGCATGATCTASGAGACTTGATAGGACCAGGTATAAAGCTGTTTTTTGTCTTTTAGAATTGTGCTTTTGTCATCTTGCAGTTTTGTCTCATTCAGTGCATGCCTCCGTAGTGATTTATCTGAAAGCCCCCTTGCTCTACATAGCTACTCTGTTCTTTAATCTTTCTATGTGCTAATTACAGATGTCCCACTTAGTTTCTTTTGTGGTATAGTCTTGGTAAGTGGACTATGAAAGGATATGCTGAATAGTAATCCTGTGAGTAGATTTTAGTGTARAAAAGATAGACTTCTAGTTGTTCTAGTTAATTTTGGGATTTGCATAATCGTTTGGGGGGGKTTATTACAGCTTATTTTAAGCCTCGTTAACCCCAAATTTATAATGTTGAAGCAATGTTTCCTTGACTGTGCACAGGCCAAGATGGCATCCCTCCAGGAGCTTCTTAATACTCCACTACCTAAAACTCTGACAGACATCCTAAAATTATCTCCTCCATATGCTGTAGACTTCACGGGTAAGTAATATACACAGCTGATATATGTGAAATAATGCAGGTTTTTACAGCTCTTTTGTAGAGATATTTTATCCCCTTTTCTAATAAGCTTTATTAGCTCATCAGTCCATGGCAAAGAAGGGCCCCACTTTCTCATCTGTAGAAATCATGTTTAAGCTGAAGGGAGTKGTAAAGCCTACATTCTTATGGGTTGCTGAGTAAAGGAATACTATGGAAGGTTCCCGCAGACATAGAGAAGGCATAAATTGAGTGGCAGTTCTACAGGCTCTATTTGTCTTTACTCCTGTCTATACCTTACACTAGGCCAAGTCTTAGTAGAAATTACCTTGAGTAAAACAAATATATGAAGCACTAGGTATAGTTTTGGCATAGGAACCACTAGCATCTTTATACGTAGGTGACATAAAGTGTCAGTGTTCCCCTAGCAGCTCTTTTGATGTTTCAGTGGTTTCATACCACTGGGATCTTGAAGCATTGCTGCTATTGCAGCTCCTGATTTCTCTAAGGTAAGTCAGAAGGATCAGTAAGGTGCTATGGAAGATAGCAGAATAATTGAGATGTGAATACAGCTTGTGTAGACTGGAGAAAATGCAAGCCTGGTTTGATGGTGCAGCTCACTTGCAGTGTACATATTGCCTCGGTGTTAGATGATGGTGAATGGACTTCTGCAATTTGCAATATGTGCAGGGGGCCCAGATTGTAATGCGGTAACTTTGTATTTCAAGAAAAAGTAATATATRTCCTGTCAGCTGTGTTTATCTCAGAGCTGAATGTTTAAAGCATTGTAAAAGCTGCCTGATGTTATGCTTGCAGATTCTGCAGCGCCTGTTGCAGAAGCACCCCAGCAAGTCGATGAGATAGTTCAATTCACAGGACAGAGACTGAACTCTAAAATGCAGGTGTACTCTGGCTCTAAGGCAGCCTGCCTTTCCAAGATGCTCACGCTGTATGAGCAGTGTGTCCGCATGATTCTCAACAATATTGAGTGTGAGTACTTTAGGCCATTTGTAGCAGCTGTGACTCAAAGTGTGTGTGATTTTTTTCTCCATGCCAACAACTGACCTACTAAAATTTATTGTCCTTCCCTACAAGTGATGACTTGGAGCAGGTTGAAAGCACTTGCAGAAATAGATTGATGGCTGTGCTGAAATGTAATTTTGTTTTGAATGCTTACTGTTTTTAAAAGTCCAAGTTTACTTAAAATAATATCCTATAAATTGTAAACCAAAAATTCTGGCTCCCCCCCACRTTTGTTGTCATCAAGACATTCTTTTCATCCATGCATAGGCAGAGGGGAAAGTGATGCATATCAGTGAAGATGGGGCAATGAATTTTCAAAGATGCTTTATCCATCCTCAAGTATTACTGCTAGTCAGTATGATTTATTTATAAGTATTTTCTGCTGATTTATAAGTATTTTCATAGCCTGACATAGGATCTTCTGTTAGTGCTTGCTAAAATAACTTGCATTTTTATTTTTAAACTGAGTGGTGTTACCCATTAAGTAATGTAAGTGAGATACTGAAAGTACTGTCCTCTTTTGTAGTGCTACAAGAAGCAGRAGGTGTGCCCTTTGAAATTCTTGAGCCTGTGCTGACACGTTGCACACCAGAGCAGTTGTTTCGAATAGAGAAATGTAATCTGGTAAATTCTACCTTGTTAAATTTGGGGAGCCACAGAATTCCAGAACTCCACAGGTTGCACTGACTGTCTGTCTTGCATCCTAATTTATTTGAATTCTGCTGTCATAATCAAGTCTCCCTTTTTCAAGTGTCAGGATTTAAAACAATCAGGAGAATTACTTCTGATGACTAAGTGAGAGACTGTGTGTATAGAARAGTATTTCTTTTTTTCTAAAAGTAAGAAAGTAAAAAAGATGAACATAGTTTTTACCACTGAAATAGCTGGAAAAGTCAGAACAACTGTTTTCAAGTTACAAACTATTAAGACTGCAATGCATATCAGTCAGAAAGTATCTGTGGTGAGATTTCATGTGTGTGGTAGATTTCTTATCTACACTGTTAGGACTTGAGCTCCATGGTGCATTTGGACACTGATGTTCTGAGTGTGTAGCCTTCGTAGGGCAAGTGTAGCCTTTTCTTTGCGTGCTTCAGRTTGGGAGCTGGCTTGAGCCTGGGATGTAAACACAAGTCTATCCTGTGAGCGTGGCTTACTGACTGCAGTGTACAGCTCTGCTGCTTGAAGCTGTGTGATTTCCAGGCTGCAGTCAATGTCCCTGCATGGAACTGCCACAGTGGGGATGCCTGTGTCACCACACATGGTGGGATTTCTTCTGTACCTTTTACCACCAGGGGTGTGGGTTGTCACTGCAGGATCAGCTAACAGGTACTCTTGAAAACATTATTTTAAAATCTCTGATTTAAGATATCTTGTGTTCAAATTAGACATTTATAAAAGAGACTGACCACTTGTGGAAGAAACACTGCCAAAGAGACTTTAAAAATGAGAGCCTTCTGGAATATGAGTCTTGGCGTGAAATGTACTTGAGACTATTTAATCAGAGAGAAGAAAAACTGAAGATCCTTACTAAAAATATTCTTTCAGCTCAGTCTGAGAAGCCAAAAGGTAAAATCTCTGGTTAGCTCTTCCACTTACAAAACCCAATCTCTTCTGCTGTTCTTGATGATATGTTTGTTTTAGTGGGTTGTTTGCAGTTAGTACTAGTGCTGTACTTCTAGGAGAAATCATCAAGAATGAACACTGTTTCTCCTAAATTAAAAGTCGCTTAGAAAATAAATACATGTGTTAATACAGTACATTGGTATATCTTGAAAATCATATGCATTCGACAGATCTTACCTGTATGGTTAGACTGAGGATCCTAAGCAATAATGTAAAGAGCTTTAGACATCAGGGTCATGAAAAGTCATGTATCCTCTGCTCCTTGCTTCTGTATTAGGCAGGCAAGTAAAAATGGCTTATGTGACTGGTGCAGCAAAACCACTCAGGAGTATTCACCGACAGCRAGAAATCCATGCGACAGCTGGACCTGTCCTCCAGCTTCATCCCACAGAGAAGTGCAAGTAAGTACTATGCTTTTAATTTGTGTCTTTGTCAGTTCAAAAGCATGCTTGCAAAACAATTTTAAAGTTCTAAATAGCTCCATTTACTTTCCTTTTTTTTTTTTTTTTTTAATGGCTACTGGCTAGAAACAAACTTGCCTTTTAAGTCTTGTGTGCTCCTCTGCCCTGTGTTCATTGTCATTGCACGTTTCTTGAAAGTGCCAGTGAATTCACCCTTCCAACTGGAGTGTGAGTGGGCACTTTTTTCCAGATTGCACTAAAGCTGCTTGGCATCCTGGTGCAATTTCATTGTTGATGTTTTGGGTTTATAAACCTGCCTAGTAGCCTCACATGTTCTCCTGCTTTGATAAAATCCCAGTCAGCTGCCTGGTGTGATACAGCTGACCAGAATGAACCTCAGGAACTTTTAATACTCTTTTTTTTCCAGTGAATTTCAGAAGCTTAGTTGAACAACTTTGCTGCTCAAGGTTGTTGTAGTATGGGTCAGGAAGGACAGCCTGGATGCAAGAATTTTCTTAAAATTAGCTTTTACACCAGATAAATTTTCATAACTGCACCTTTAGCTGTTAAGATTCACAAAGTTCTTTCCATCCTTGCTATTTTCAGTGAAAAGAGAGTCTCCCACAAGGCAGTAGCTTAAGGCACTTTGAGTTGCGCTTTTGCTTTCAGTTGCTGACTGGGAGGTTGATTCTGTATTGTGCCAGACCAGCCTTTCCAGTTTAGGTGCTTCAGGTACAGTGCTGTACAAGTACATATGGCCTTTGTGCTCCAGTAATCTCTGGACCAGTAGCTGAATGGCTTAGACCAAGCCCTGCATGACTTTTTTTTCTTCTCAGGCATGGTAAATTAGGAAGAGCTGGTGTTATGTGAAAGAAGCTCTAAGAGAGTCATTGCTTTTCCTTCTTGAGAAACAAAGGGTTTGTTGGGCATCATGTTTGTTTGGGCATCATGACTTCACTGCTTTGACCTAMTGGATTTTTAAGCTGCAGAGTTTGTACCGTTGAAATTCTCACTTAAGAAGCTGGTCTTGCAGGAGCTAAAAAATCCTGTGGCAGACACACAGAAGCATAGCAGGCTGCTATTGGCACTCAGTACCTGAGCACTGGCAGAATCCTCAGTGACTGGCTGTAGGAGGAGTACAGGGCTGTCACACTGGGGACATTGTGCTGACACTGATGCTGTGTTGGGTTAATGGTTTTTAGCAGAAGGTGTCAGCTCTGAAGATGCATCTGCCTCAGTCCTTGTCTTGATTGAGGATTTGAACATGGTGGTTAGTTATTGTGCCTTTTGTTAGTCAGTCACACTTAGTGKTTTTTTTAGAACATTTTCCCTCATTTTCTTTCAATGAACTAGTTAGCCATTCTGCTGTGTTCAAAGAGGAAAATAAACATAAGGTGCAAAGTAGAACRCAGGGCATTATGAACCACAGTGGTATTGCTACCTTTTTGATCTATCACAAACTGATTTTGTAATTTTAAAGGCTAGTCAGAGACATGAAATCTTACAAATGTAATATTTGTGCAAGAATAAAATGGACCAGATGATCATGTGTGACCCCTTCTAATCTGAATTATCCTATGATTTTGAAATGTATATAGTCTCTTAAATGTCTCCAATCAGGCTGTTGTTTTTTGGTTTTTTTTTTTAAATGAGCCAAAGTGAATAGTAACTTGATACCAAGTGCTGATTCTTTTCTTATTGGCTTGTTTTAAAAGAACAGGGATTCCAGAAATGAGAGACAGAAATAACAMATTAGCAAATCTGATCCCTGCTGGCAGCAGTAGAAGTTCTAGCTCAGGTGTCATGATTCAAGATGGAAAGAAGCCTGCCAAAAGTAAGTGGCATTTCCTAGGATTATCAATTTAATTGTTTTGACTGGCTGCCTACTAATATATTCTTGATACTATACTAATACCATTTAAAGTTGCTCATAACTGTAATTCTAACTGGTCTCTTTATTTCGTTGTTATTGAAGAAATTGCACCAATCATGAAGAAAACTTTGAAAGCGCTGAGRAACAGAGTTGGACAACGATAAAATGAGGCTGTGTATTTGAAGCTTATGTGATGTGATCATTTGTGTATTATGCTACAGTGAATAAAAGTAATGTTCATGTAAACACTGTTCAATTTGCCTTAATTAAAATAATTCTGAAAAATTGCAGGGGTGAATAATTAGCAATAAATACTGAAACATCAGAGTCCTTTCATACTGCTGTTTTCTTACTTGAATTGAAATCAGGTCAGTACACACTGACAAATCAGTTTATGTGAGCTCTTATAGAAAATGTATTTATCAATTCAAGCTGATGAAGGGTGGGGTACAAGTTTTATGAGGAATGGCTGAGGGAACGGGGGTGGTTTAGTCTGGAGAAAAGGAGGYTGAGGGGAAGACCTTATTGTTCTCGACAGGTATTTGAAAGGAGTTTGTACATGGGTGGGGATTGATCTCTCTTCCCAAGAGAAGAGAAAGTGGCGTCAAGTTGCACCAATGAAGGTTTAGATTGGATATTAGGAAAAATTTCTTCACTGAAAGGGTTGTCTTTGTTGGAACAGTTGGTCCAGGGAACTATCTGTGTTACCATCCCTACACATATTTAATAGACATGTASATGTGGCATTTGAAGTCTAAAGTGCTGGGTTTACAGTTGGATATTGATGACCTTCGAAGTCTTTTCCAASCTAAACAATTACATAATTCTATGATTCTACGTAGTGGGGAGATGAGAGAAAATGAATGCTATACTCTCATCTGCTGCTGTCATGAAGAGGCCTAACTCACAACCTCACAGCCWTTTGCCTTCAAAGTGAAGAAGCTATTTGGTTTTGGATAGCTGTCCTTTCAAGGATTAGGGACTGCTGCAATTTGRGATAGATCTATGCGTGGGTTTACTTTTAGAAATGAGATGTGTCTTTGTAGTTTCTTCTTCTAAACCAGTTCAGTTGCATGAATTGTAAACCTAACTTTGCCTTGAAGTGATGGCTTAGAAATGGAGGAACTTATTCTGTCAATTAYACTCAGTTGTTGCAGGCATTTGAACTCCTCGTGAAGTAAAGGATAAGGTCATTAAACCAGTTAATGTCTCCTACTCAAAACACCCTATGTGTCAACTTACTCACCATCCTGTGAGTATTACAGGTTACAGGTAGATTAAAAAAATACTGCTTCTAAAAATGGCTTTTACAGCCATTTATATAGTCATCCATACATAACAGCTTGTGCAAATGCCCTGTTTATACAGGGATTTGAAGTCAGCAGGTGTGCTTCTGTGTTGTTTTTTTTTTTTCTCCATGCATTATAGTTGCACTAAAGAGAATGAAAGTAGAAAACAGGTGTGTTGTTGACCTGGAGACACTGTGAGGGAGCTTTCTCTGTTTTTGGGATCAAAACAAGCATTAACTAGTAAGAGAGGTAATGCAGCCTCTGTCATACATACTTGGAGAATTCATTCCAGAAGTATTCTTTACATGATTTAGATCTGGCTGAATGGCCAAAGTACCTCTCTTCGTTGCTAATCAGTTGGTGGCACAAGCTAAGTTCAGCTGGAGGTTTCTATCAAGTGTGGTATTCTTTTGTGTAAGAAAAGACAAAGTCATTGATTGGGCTCTGGCATTTGAGAAGAGAGCTGTAGCCATCCAGAACAGATGTAGATGATGGGAATATCACCTTGGGAGTCTGACTGATAATTAGTTCTTTTAACTAGTGAATGTACATTGTTGATTGGCAATAACTTTTCCTATCCTTGATAGTGGTAGCAGAGTTATGTGAAGGGGAAATTAGACTTCAAGATTAGATGGTTTTCATTTCCTCTTCTCATTTTCTCTCACTTCAAAGACTCGAGCTATATCTGCATAGGTCTGGTAAGAGATATGCAGAGGGTACTCATGGGATGAGATTATTGTCCTCACAATTCCTACTTTAGAAAACGTGGTAGACAAGCAAATCTCTTTATTGTAAAGTAGTTGGTGCTACATGCACTTTAGGCTAGGCTTTTTCTTTTGCTTGTCCTGTGATCTGTTCTTATGGACTAATCCCCACCTGAGGCTGCAGAACTTTGGGGTGCTCTGGGAATGCATCCTTGTGAGGAATTTTATTTTTGTGGTTTGACACTRCTTGATGACACAATAGAAATCATATGTGGAGGCAAATTCAGAGCTTACTTCAAAAGCATACCCTTTTAATCTGAACAAGAAAACACCAATGTAGATGCTTTTGCAGCCTYCTGCCTTGCATCCCTTTATATTGTTACTCTGWTAYAGAGAAATTATTGGTAGATGTGTGWTCMTGGYGTCTGACATGCCTAACAATACACATGATATTRGAGTATATTGGCCTGAGGCAGATGACTTCCCTTCTGGGGGCTGGGTGAAAGATGTTTGGTTGGTTTTGTTACACATTCCCCAGGCTGGTTGCCACATCCCATCAGAGAAGTCTGCTGGTTMTTCTTAGGGAAGGTACTATTTCCACAGAAAGACTGATTGTTACGAGTGTGTGACAGCCTTCTCTTCCCTAAAAAACACATTGCTGCTCCTAGTCCTCCTGCAGTATCTCTGGAGCCTTTGATCCCAGCAGCATAATGCTTTTGCCTCCAAGCATTAAGCAAGTTCCATATTAATTTATGGCAAATTAAATAAGTGATGGGAGAAAAATATGGGCACAAAAGGAAAGTCCTACTGTTGTGGAAAAAACCACAAATACATAATATTTATTTTCTTTTTAAGTTTTTTTCTTCCTTCAAGCATAGAAACCACCTTCCACTTCCCGACAGTGTTTGTTTCAGCAYTGAGGAACGTTTTCTGTCCTGTTAGTGGTTGGGCCCAAGAAGAAAGCTTGGCCTGACTGCCATACCACTTAAAAAAGGAGGATGTGTGATGTTGCCATCTAAACAGTCCCTGTGGTAGGAGAAGGAAAACAATTTTGAGATGAAGTGTTTGCTTAGGAGACCCTGCTCAGAAGGCATGTGAATTCCAGGAGCTAAGTTCTTCCTGGGGATCTCGTAGGCGTTTAAATGGGCCAAAGCCAGGGTGTAGGGTTTGGCATGATCCTTCTGGAAGAATTTGTAGGCATCAGTGTAGTGCCCCATGCATGCTGTTGTCAGTTTTTGCTGTTCAGGGATCAGTATGTGAGCTGCTGCTAAAGCAAGGCATGGCTGGGATCCTTGTGAGCAGGAGGGTTGTTACAGCTCTGAGCATGGTGCCATTGGCTGTGTGGTACCAGGGGATGTCTGAGCATTTCTGGCAGTCACAGGAGATAACCTCAGCAGAGGGAAAAGAAATCCCCTCATGCGGTGCAGTTCTCAGACTTGCCATCTGAAAGTTTGGCAAAATGKCTGTGCCAGGGTTTAGTGTGGTGAAAAATGTTGATGCACTGATGAGTAAGAAGATCATCCTCTATGTACTGCATTGGGGGGAAAAMMCCCAACCAAACAAAACACCACTCAACAAAAACCCAACTCAACCAGTGAGAGTTGSCTTGTTGTTTTGATTTATTTCCTTTCCCTGCCCTTCCTTTAAAGACAGGTTTTCTGAGTGGGTGATTGAAGCCTTGGTTAGACAGCTTACAGTCTCCTCTTTTGGCCACCCCTACCATTGCACAGAGGTGAAATATCATTTTCCTGCAGTTGTACCTAGTTATTGCCACTGGATGAACAAGTCTCTCTGGGATCACCACTGTGGCAGAAATAGTCCTGGATTTGTTTATTTGCAGGATGAATATATTGTGATTATTTTTTTCTTTTCTTTTTTTTTTTTTTTCCTTTCTCAATAATTTCCATATGAACAAGTCTTTCCTATAGTGCTCAAAGCTTTTCCTTTCTGACCTGCTGTATCAGTTGGAGGGGAAAAACAAGAGTCTTGTATCCTTATGATCAATCATAGTGTGGGGGTTGGACTCAGCATTTCTTGGTGTGATCATTTGCATTTGGTTTTCAATGGTTTCTGCTGTGGGTRCCATTGTTTAGCAGTGAAACCTTTCAGGAAAGTGATGGAATCACTCTGCAGTTGTGCTGCTTGGTACAAGAATAGGAGCAGGTTATTATTCTTCCTTCTTAATGGAACTGATGTGCCATTTTCCTTCTCTGTATTTTCCTTCTCTTCTACTGTTTGTAGTAAATATTTTTTAATGTGCTCTTTTCRATTTTCTGTTCTGCACAGGTCTGAGTTGCATCCTTACACAACCATGGTACCTTCTCTGTCTAAACTTCTTCACAGAGCTGAATTAGATTTTATTCTGTGGTACRGAGTTCTAATTTCGTTTGGTTCCATGTCTTGGGTTGTTTCTAAAACTTCAACCCTAATAATTTGCAAAAAAGGGGCTCTGTGACTACACACATTATAGAGAAAGAACTGCAGGCTTTTCAAAAGATAAATAAAATTTGTAGAGAATTTGGATCTAAACCAACAAAAAAGCAGATGAAAAACAAGCATTCCCAAATGTGTAAAGGAATGTACTAATCCCAAAAGACTTGAGAAGATTGTTTCCATAGATGGGCATACCAAGTCCAAGTCTCTGATGGCGTGGAGYTGAAACATCCTGGAATCTGAAATCCAACAGTCCTGTGCATTTAACCCTGCTCAGCTTCCTCACCAATGTGCCCTAGAAAAAAATTATACTAAAAATGAAGCTTGGAAGTGCTAGGTTTTCTAGAGGAAAATATATGATAAGACTGTCATAGTTTTTCAGAAATTAAGCATCAAAAACTCAGAAAATTTCCAACTATTTTAAGGCATAGAAATCTAGTTTCAGAAGCCTAGTGTTTCTCTTAATTTTAGAAGTGGAATCTAATTCAGGTCAGAATAGTGCAGGAGGTTCCAGTTTTGTTTTTTCTTTTCTCCTCAAATTGCAGAACTTCAAAATTCCTGCTTTAAATGTGAAACTACAAAGTCATGAATGTAATCTTTGTAGCTTCAGCCCTAAATGGTGTGCTTGCTGTGGGAAGTGCTGGAGGAAGCCTTGAGCAGCGTATGTTATGTGAACTCTGTTTACTGAGAAGTTGCTTCTTTTTATCCCTGATGACAGACCTAAAAATGGCACTTGCTGAGGGACAGGGCTGAACAACTCTGGAAAATCTTCTGTAGCTGTCCTCCTACAGAACTGTAAATAGGTACCCAAGCTGCAGACAAAGCTCTTTATGACATCTTCAGGCCCTATCCCTTGATG